GTTGTGGAGCTGGAGGAGACTCTTGCGAGTCCCCTGGACTGCAAGGAGATCAAACCTATCCATTTTGAAGGAAATCAACCCTGAGTGCTCACTGGAAGGACAGATCCTGAAACTGAGGCTCCAATACTTTGGCCATCTCATAAGAAGAGAAGACTCCCTGGAAAAGACCCTGATGTTGGGAAAGAGTAAAGGCAAGAGGAGAAGGAGATGACAGAGGACGAGATGGCTGGACAGCGGCATTGAAGCTACTAGCATGGATTTGACCAAACTCTGGAAGGCAGTGGAAAAAAGGAAGGCCTGGCGTGCTCTGGTGTTCAAAACCGTTGAATGAGAACCCATGCCTTTGAGAGAATGAGCTCCTATTACTCACAATTAAGACATTTTACAATTATTCTCTCTTTTTGCTTTTTCAATGGAGTAAGAAAAGGAAAGGAGAAATAATACGAAGGCTGCAAATTACAAATGACATCATCTGGATTTCCCGTTCCATGAGGGAGACAGTGTAGTTGCATAATAAAAAAAAACTGGTCTAAAAGCATTCTGGTAAGATCCCGTTCTTTTCTTCTCCTGAAACTGCATAATAATAAAAAAAACTGGTCTAAAAGCATTCTGATAAGATCCCGTTCTTTTCTTCTCCTGAAACAGAAACAGCTAGATTACTCAGAATAGAGTGCCTATCTTTACTCTCTTAAGGAGGAATCTCCTCAGTTTCAATGTCAAAAGATACTCTCCCTTTTTGGAAGTATCTGCCACTTGAAGGGCTGTACTGTCCGTGTCTGATTTTGAGGCAAAAAGCACAACAACGGAGATGAAGGACCTTTGAATTGTACACCAATAGTGTGCGAGTTGGACAAAAGATTCAGCAAGCACCTACCATACCTGGCCGTTTTTCTCCATTCTAGTGAGATGCATTTTAATTCTAAATCATAATAATATAAATTTGTATATATAATTTTATAGGAAGGAGTATGTTCTCTTTTGTCTTTCTTTTTGCTGATGTATAAGTGGCAACCCTGAAACAGAAATTTATCAGGGCAGAAAAGTTAAGAATGACATCCAAGCATAGACATCTGACTTGTATGTCTATTAACAAGGCAATGTTTGAAATTAGAATTTGAGGTGAGTGGAGGGTTTGCTGGAAGGACAACACCCTACCATGCATAGTCAACCATTGTGTGAAGCATTTTTATATAATTTTCCTATAATTTTCCAGTTAATTTATCTACCGCCTGTAGAGCAAGCCCAGATGGGAGCAGTTGGTTGGCATACATCAGCACCTTTTGTTTGTGAACATAAAGCCAGGATTCTTGACTTAGCATTTTATGCATACATGGCTAGAAGTTCCATTAGTATGCTATGTATTCATTGTTTCACAATTTTTCATCACTCAAGAGAGGTGCACAATTTGTTGGTATTGCAACATACAGGAGAATGGCTAATCAGAGTGATAAAATCTCAAGAGCAGTGTATATTTTGATTTTTGTGTTGTCAAATAGTTCATATATTTCATTGTATTAAGGACCTTGCTTCTGGCTGATTTGTTGTAAACCACCATACCTCTTACCTTAGTGCTATCTATCACAAGGACAGGCTTTCTAAGTAGAATCTGAGTCCTTCAAACTGATCATAGCTTATACTGCTTTCCATTTGAAAAAGTATGTGGCCTGAAGGGGAAAATGAAGTATTTCTAGGATGCTACTAGATATGTAAAGTTTTAATGTGCACCATGCCACTGAGAGGTTTCTTTAAGGCCCACTAGTCTCAAGAGAGGTCCATGAGTTAACTTGCTAGCTAGTTACCACAATGCCATGGAATAAACCACTATTGCCATGGAATATGACAATAGCTCTAGTAAAACACTGTTCCTACTATGACTCCATCAGAATGAAAAAAGGTACAGTGGGGTCTTGACTTGAGAACTTAATCCGTATTGGAAGGCGGTTCTCAAGTCAAAAAGTCTGTAAGTCAAGTCTCCATTGACCTACAGTGCATTGAAAACCGATTACTCCCGTAACAGGCCGTTTTTGTTCCATTTTGGTTTTTTTCTGGTCTGTAAGTCAAATCTCAGTCTGCAAGTCAAACCTAAATTTTGCGGCCAGAGAAGTCTGTAACTCAAAAAGTCTGTAAGTCAAGCCGTCTGTAAGTCAAGGGTCCACTGTATTTTGATTCAGCACTCATTTCTGCTAAATCTTATTCTGATATCATGGGTCACAGCTTAAGAACCTCTGCTATGCAAGGAACATTGACTCATATAGTTCCTGGTGATCCGTTATTCAAGAATGTCTTTGTGATTTAATTGTGGATTAGACATTTAACAAAAGCCCTTCTTAATTCCAACATTGGTGTCTGGGTTTCCTTGTTCACACAAAATACTTTCACTCTCAAGAGTAATACTGGTTCAAAAATATATTTTTGTCTTAATACACTGGGAAGGGATAATAAAAGGGAAAGGAAAAACACCACCTCAACTGTTCAAAAATAAAAGTGATGGCAATGTTCACTTTGTAGAATTGCTTTGCAGGTTAATATACAATATGAAGGGGTCTATTTCACTTCAGCAGTTTGGCCCACAGTCCCCCCCCCTCAGATTTCTGAAGTAACTTATTACTTCCCACACCTGCTTAGGGACAAGACAAAGATTATTTGTTATCTGTCCATTGCCAGAAGATTGAACCCTATTTCCCATGGGCAATGCTGTGCTACAAACTGCGGTGACAAGGAGAATCCCTTCGTCCAATTTTCCTATCGTCAGTAAAACAATGATATGCGGCAGTTTTATGGGTTTGACTCCAAAATGCAAATACCTCGCCTGAGCTTCCCCTCTGAGTTTTAAAGTGCTTTCTCATTTACATTTTCATCCCTATTAACCCCCCAAAATCTGTTTCTCTTCTCCCTCAGCTTCCATTTGCCTCTCTGTATCCAGAAATAGTTAGCGTTGCTTTCATTGGGAATCCGCTGTGCTTTAGATGAGCACAAGGAGTAGGTAGATCTCTGCATATGATGATGCAGACTGGGGTTGGCAGCCCACTTCAGGGATTTCCAGTAGCGTCCATATTTGTAGCTGACCCTGGTTAGAGATAAATCTTATCTTCCTTTTAGTCTCTTAGTTTTTGCTTTGTTTTTTTTTTCCCCTGAGCCTATTGTGGGAGGACAAAAGCCAACACAGCTTGTATTTTTAATAAGTGTGTAAAACATCTGTCAGCCTTCCTTCCTGTCTGTCTACCCACCTATCTGTCTATCTTCCCACGGCATTTCTCCACTACTGTTCCGATTGGTCTGATCAATTTGACACGCTGGCCGCGTCAAAAGGTAATATCCTCGGCTTAATTGTAAGCTAAGTCTCTCTTAATCCAGGGGAGCGTTTGAGATTCTATCCAAGTGTTCAATTTCCCAGGCCGCTGAGGTCTGTGGATTTCTTTCTCCAGCCTTCAGGCTGCTGCAGCACAAGTCAGCATAGCTAATGCAGATAGATCTCCTCCTCCTCCTCCCCCCCTACGCTTTCTCTCTCTCTCTTTCCCCTCCTCTCCCCAGCTCTCTTCCCCCCCCCCGCAAACAAACGCTGTGCTTTGATTCGATATGAACAGACTGGCAACTCCGATGCTAGAGCAAAATCTGACATAACTCTGCAGATGGCTACGTTCGGATGATACACCTAGGATTTTTTTTTTCCTTACGAGAGGTAAAGATTTATGCGATAATAATATTTTTCCCCCTTGTGCCATTTTTTTCAGGACTGCCAGCCCCAAAGAAGAGTCCAAAGTCGGTAAGCACTTTCCAAATTACTATACCTGTTTGATTATTTTTGTCAGGGGTGTGGGTGGGCGTTTCTCAATATATAAATTAAAAAAAAATACTGTGGGAAGCTTGGTGTATGCAAGGTGTTTCTTTTGCCGTGCCTTTCCAACCCCACCCCACTCCCACTGTTTGAAAGTTGCTGGATGACATTCTATTGCTGCACTAATTGTTTTGCATGAATTGTACGGAATGTGAGAGTTGGAGGAATGCTGGACAGAAAGTGGCTGGTGAGCAAACCGGAGGGAAGGGATGCTTGGGTGGAATTCAGCTTGGTGCCTTTCGTATTTCTACTTCTAACGGACTGAGCTTCATGGGCGTTTAACATATCCTTTAAAATGCCATTGTTTCCTTGTTGAATGATTGTGTGTATGGAGGCTCCTCCTTCTTTTCAGATAGCGCTTCCTAGCAGATTTAAGCCTTATAATGTGATGAATATTTGGAGGGTGGGAGAGGCTGAAGCTTGTTTCCTAACAGCAGCAACCGGGTGGGGGGGCAGAACCCCTTTTATAGTACAAAGGTATCATCATAGTGTTTAGCGGTCTGAGCACTGAGAGTATGTGCCCCGTTTCTTTCGCTATGGAGAGCATCCTTTGTTTTTTCTGCCAGGATTTAGTAGCATTATGCTGCAGCTGTAGATTTTATTTGCCCATTGCCTTTTTAGAGGAGAGAGGGGGGAGATCAATATTTTCCTGTCCTTGCTAATCTCCTTTTCTCACAGAGCAGTTACCTCATCGACGTAGCTAATAGCATGGAGGTTATTGCCAGAAAGTATAATTAAAACAGAGAATGTTGCCACTCTGGAGAATACCATAATTAACAGGCTTTCTTGGGGGTTAGCAGTCCAAAGACTGAAAGTTTTCCTAGTTATTTGCAGGGAAGGAGGCATTGAGGAGGTATGCTTGTATCTAGCCGGTCTTTTCAGAGATAAGGAGATTATTGCAGTAATATCAGATTGCTGCAAAACTTCACCAATAGTCTGTTCTGGAGCTCCGCCTTCCTGTTGCCCCACCTTTCGGTGAAAAGCTTAACCATGAGCAAGAAACCTCCTCCTGCTCTCTATTGCAAGTTTCCTGCTCGTCAAAAAGAAAGCCCTGAAATAATTAATGTGGTTCTACTGGCTTAGGGCCGTGCTGATTAAAGGCACGTGACCTGAGGCCTCTACTATTGTCACTTTGCATTAAGGTTGCTGAGGGAGGAAAGCCCAGTTTGCGCTCAGCCTCCAATCCCACAAATGTCAGCCCGTATGGGTTTTACTTCTGTGTCATAGTCAGGGAGGAATTTAGCCTTTGGTTAAAATAGAAGCAAGTGCGTAAAACATGTACAAGCATATTGGGGGGAGCAGAAGTGATAGATGTTAGCTTTCAACCAAAGCAGGGGAGAATTGATTTCCAGTCGGGTTTCTCTCCTCCTGTCTCACTATCCCTGTTAATTAAGTCACAATCTGATGAATGGATTAAAAAGGGGTTGATTTGAAAAACGTCTAGCCTTCTTTCCTCCCTGCGATCAAGTTACAGAAAATCTCTTCTACTAATTTGGAGTTGCGTGAATGCCTCTCCAGTGAATGGCAATTCCATAGAAGCTTTAAAATCTTGTGTGTGGAACCTAAATCCTTTGAGAGATAATCCTCTAGTGAACAAAGCGACTGTTTACGAACAGGTGTCATCCTGGAGCCCTTTTCCACTTTTTTCTCCCCCAATCCTGTTTTTGGAAAGGGGTAGCTTCAATGAATTCTTTCTGTTTTAGAAGTCTGCTCTTTCATTAAAGGAAAATAGATCCTCCTGGATGTCATGGTGATAAAAGTATGTTTATCTGTCTCTTTTTCTTCATTTTTTTGAAACTATTTCCAACACATCTCATGTCCTTTGTAGGGAAGTCCACAGAACTTGGACACAGAATTTGCCTAAGTTTTTAAAAAGGCACTCTCAAGATGGGGTGCTTGTTCAGTTAATAATGTAAAAAATAATAATAATACTTCAGCTGTTGCATTCAATGGTGAGGTATTACCTTGCTATTAAAAAAGGGAACAGAACCGCAATATCTAAAACATTTGTCTTACTCTCTATGATTACAGATGAAAGCACTAACTGTAGTGTAATTTAAAATTACCATTATTTTAAAAAGCACAAATAAAATTGAAGGGCGCATTGCTATATTGTTTAAGTAGATTAGTTTAATTTTGCTACAGAGATGAAATGCCCATAACCAATCCAAATGGGAATTCCCACATTTTCATTCTTTTCAAAATGCCATGAAAACTGTTTTGTCGTTTTATTCAGTGAAGCTTACATGTTGACAGCTTAGTGTGATGATGCAGGCAAGGAAAATGCCAAACATCAGTCCTTGATGTCCCCAAAGGCTACTTCCATGGTTTTGTGGTTGTGTTCTTTTTTTCCTTCCACCCTTCCCATTTTGTTTCTACAGGAACCCCTTAAACAATAATTATTCCTTGATCAATAATATATTAGCTGCAGTTTCAGGAGCAATACGCAATCTGTCTCCACTGTATTAAAAGGGATAAGTAGGAGGAACCCTTAACATTTGTCAGTTGTTTGAATAAAAGAGGATATATTTCCTTCTGCAGCAAATGAGTTGACAAATCATAATGTGGCAGATGGAAGCTACTAGGTGTATATCTTAGCATTAACATGTAATGCAGGCAATGAATATGGTCCATGTCAGGGAAGACAACCTCTGAGGATTTAAAGACCAATGTTGTCCTTTCTGTACCTTGACAAGCCATGCTTCCTCTCTTACCTATTCACCTGAAAATTGAAAATGGGAAATCAAACAACTGGAAAGGCAAGGCATGCTATTTGCAATATAAATGTTACTTTATTCTTTCAGAGACCACTTAAAGAAAAGCATTTAAAAAAAATAGCAACAGGAAATGACTTTGTGGCCCATACTGGGGAGGATCTAAGGGGCAGAAATAACCTATAAGTTATGTATTTACTGGACTATATGTTTCCTACTATATAAAAATCAGCACCAAAGTGGTACTCTGCACACCCAGCCATGCCTTACAGTGGTCCTTAGACAAATTCTGGATGGTGTGAACATCTCTTTCAGTTCTGTGACAATTAGGCTAATGCAAACTCTCCATCTTGGGAATTTGCAGATGACACATGTAACATCTGACTTTATAAAATTACTAAAAGAAACCAATCCACTGTGTGGCCCAAAGAACTTTTCTTTATATATGAGGAAAGGTTGGCAAAACTGTATAACCTCTCATGGAATTTCCCCATCTTGCTAGTCAAATTCACCAGCAGCTCTCAATAATAATAATAATAATAATAATGGCAGCCTATCTCACAAAGATCCATATTTGCTCCTACAAGTGAATGAATGGGGCAGGCTGAGAAGCACTAGTACTGTATAAGTTGAAGGCTGGGAATTTGAAAACTGATACTTCTTTGCAACAATTCCCGCTCTGAAGGAGAAGAAGGCAATACTGAAGCAAAAGTAATCAATAGGCTATTCTGTTGGAGGTATTCTATGGAAAATAATACTGTTGAAAGGTAGTTGCTATGTTATCACAGCCTTGGTTCTAGTTAGAGACACAAATGACAAAGGAAAGTAGCTTCCCTTGGAAAAGTATGGCTCATTCATCCCTCCTAAACACCTGGCTACTCTTAACAACCTTTATCTTGTTGAATGTGGCCTTCATTCAGATCTTATTATCGGTCTAGTGCCAGTCACTCAAACAGCCCTCATCCAGATTCTTGCTACTGTGAGATGCTCACCTGTGCATAGTATTTCTCTACAGTAGCACGTGGGCAGGGCTTCAGCATATCAGTTAAGTTCCTTTAGTCCAACAGTTCGTTTTAGGCTTGTGAGATAGAACTTGGGGTTCGTATAGAACAAGCATTGAAGATTTGTCTGCAGCTTGGTGCTTCTGTTAATATATGTTAATGGGACTCTCTTCCGCTGAAGTACATACAGTTGTTAAACTAGCACTATTATGAAACTTGTTTAGTAATAATATACACTGCACCTCATGCACTAGTACATCATTAGAGTAAAATGTTTTCTGGACACAGAAGAAATGTGTAAATAGAGGTTTAGGCTAGGTAGCAGTAGTAATACCCCCGATTTGTATGGTGTTGTGATAGTGGACTTTCTATTTCATTATAGCTTCTGTACCATAGAGGAGTGGTTCTCAACCTTGGGTCCCCAGATGTTCTTGGTCTAAAGCTTCCAGAAGTCTTCAGCACTAGCTGTGCTGGCCAAGATTTCTGATAGTTGTAATCTCTAAACATTTTAGGGCATGGCTATCTAGCTGCCTATCTGAGTTTGAACCTACCTAGTTATTAAGAACAGCAGGAGAGGCTTGTTGAAGGACACCCCCTGCCCCATCTTTCAGAAGCTGATTGATTGAGAACACAGAATATTATTAGCAGTCCTTCCCAAATTCTAGAAGGTGTTTCTTTTTAAATTGCAACTGGTTCCTGCTCTCTCATCTTTCAAAATGTGTGTGAAGACATTTTGATTTGGCCTTTTAAATGGCTTTATTGTTTCTAATTTTGTTTTATTGTTTTACCATGTTTTATACAATGTTTTATATAATTGGTAAGAGGGGAATGTAAACCACTTTTGAGTATTTTCTGGCTGGAAAACCCTGAAAAGGATCACCCTAAGTCAGATGTGCATAATTATTATAGTATGATTAGTGGTCTTTTTAGTTTTTTACATCCCACATTTGTAAGGAGAACGAGTACAAAAAGAAAATAAATAAATAACAGCAAAGAACATTCATTGAGCAGCAGCTGGAGGAGGAATGCACAGATCAAAACTAGATGCTTGATGACATCCCACAAAATGCACCTGAGATGGTAGCCTGTTGTCCATCTGTATTATATTTGGAAATAATAATATAATTATATCTAAACAAATGAAATATATTAGTTTTTTTCATCTTTGAAGTCTTCAGTATTTCTTCTGGATTTCATGTTCATCCATAGTAAG